ACCCTTTGGCTGGGAGCAGCAGCTGATCAGGGCTCCCAACATGAGGGTTGCATTAGAGTCAGGGGCTCTGATCCCCTGACCCCTTTAACCGAACATCTGCCACAGGCCTAAATGACTTACTGGGGAGGGGGGGATTTAAGGGAATTGAGGTAAAGCAGCAGCAGCAAGAGCTGAGCAGGCCACATGAGGCTTTCGGAAAGCACAAGTCCTATTAAAATCACCAGGTAAAGAAAAGAAGGGAGTGGGAGCCGGGAAGAACGACTGATGCAATTCCTTTGGGCAGCATGTTCTTCTGAGCACTCGATACCTACCGCTTGCACTGCACAGCAGAGTGAGAGCTGGATGGAAGGGGAGGAATGTAGCCATGGGGGCACTCCCTACGTGCAAGGAAGACATCCTATTCGTTTTTCATTGTATTCCCAGAAAATGGTCATTTTTGCATCAACCCCAGTCCCCAACCTACAAGAATCCAGGTTTTGCAGGCTTCTTCCACTGCCAGTTAACAAATGGCATTTCCTTTCAAGCGATCTGGATTTTTTATGCTGTTGGGTTTGTAAAGTCCAGGCTGTTTCAAAATTGTGCAACCAGGCCAAATCTAGGTTAATATAATACAGTCTCTTTAACACTGATTAAAGCAATCGGAGAACTGCCCTACTACCCTTCTGACCAATGACCACATCAGTCCTATTACATAATAAACACCACCGCATCTACGGCAGATCACTGTTCTGCTGCCTACGTGTCATTTTTAACTGCAACAAGACCGTTAAGTGGCTATGGACAAAGAGACAGTGCAAGTAAGAGAGGCAGAGGGAAAAATGGATGGTAGCAATAACTTACCGTGAGTAAAATATTTAAAATCCACTACAAATTTCACATATTCGTACGTGAGGGGCTCATTTGGATCTAAGCTGCCTCTTGCTAAATGGCAGCAGAACTCTATTTGTTTTTCAGCTGAAACAAAATGGAGAGGAACATCACTGAAAGCCCTTCAGTTTGCATTTTGACATGCTCTGCCTATCTAACCTATCTTCAGAGACATATTGGAGCACATTCTGCTGGGATGTGCCACCTATCCAAAAGGAGTATCAGTAGCAACAAAGGGAAACAACCTGTTTGTTCGCCTGGCTCTGGAAAAAAATAGTTCTGCCTTATCCCTGGTCACCTCTTCTTTGCTGTAGCTGGGCTGCAAACTGGCTGCCCTGAAGTCACTTCGCATCTTGCCATTGACTTCAGGGGGCCAACATTTCATACAAAGCCTTTAAATGACATGCTCTGTTTTTGCCAGTGCCCAGCAAGGTCAATCCACTCATGCCCACTACTGTCAAGGGGATCCTCTTCAGCACAGCAGGCTTTGGATCTAGCTTTACCTCCTGTTAGCAGGCACCAAGGCTGTTCATTACATGAACTTGGGCAAAAGTGAAATCCCTCCTGCACAGAAGACAAGCACAAAGCCTGAGCCCCACTGAAGTCTCATAGTGACAGCCTAAATAGTATGCAAGTGCTAACTAAAGCGCAGGTGGGTGCTCTGCACATGGAGGAATAAGAACAGGGGACACATACTCTTCCTTGCTGTGGTCCTCACACTAGCTAGAAGGGCCAGGTCTGCACAAAAGGCTCTTACTGTCCCATTTCTGCTTCCTGAAACCCTCTTACATGGCCTGGTGGACGGAAAATCCTCCCAAAGCCATCTTTACCCTCTTTTACCCCTCCCACCTCCACCCCAAGAAAGTAACCCAATAAAAGACAATCATGCAAATTAAAGGGTCTTCATCAGATGAGCAGCCTGGTGATGGGTGGCATTTTGTACATTAAGTATTTGAAACACATGAAGCAGGCAGGTGAGGGTGCTGCCCACCTGAAAAGCATCGGTCTCCACTGGCCTATTTAGCCTCTTTCCCCAAAACTGAAAAGAGAGGAACTTACCGTGGAGAAAGTCAGTTGCTACGGGATCCGTCATGAGCACGTGAGATGAAAGGAGCTTGTACACCTCGCTCTGTTCTCGCTCAGGCAGAAAGTTTAATATATTTTGGTCCACCAAATCTGACTGATACAAAAGAATGCTTTGTCATGTTCAACAGCAAACCTTCACAAGGGGCACGCGCGCACAACAGCCGGCAGATGCTGCCGCTCTCACGGGACTGCTTAAGACTGGGAGAAGCGCGACTCTTGGTCCCCTCGGGCTGCTACATATTGCCCCGTACTTCAGAGGGATTATAACATTGCAATCCATCCTTCCATGATCAGAAACATGAATCCAGTGTTTTATCCCATGCAGAATCATCTTTCCCTCTGCACCTTGGGCACCAAAGGATGCCAGGGTCAAGTAGTGAAACAAGCAGAGTTTCTCCCAGGGCAAACCCTGCAGAAGAGCAGAGGTGCAGCATACGGGGGAAGCGGGATGTGGGTTCTGGGCAGGGGAGGGGGAATCTAAGGGGATCCAAAAACAGGGGCAATGGGCTCAGGATCCAGGAGCAAGGGCTCCATGATCCAAAAACAGCGTTGGGGGAGCATGTGAGGAAGGGTGTACCCACGCTGGGTCCTGGCCGAGCTGTTGCAGCTGGAGATTATCTCAGAGCTCCTGCCATGGGAAGGCTGCCAGAGCCCCACTGGGGTGTGGGTGACTCCAGCACCCCTCTGAATTTGGCACCAAAGGTGGGTGCCCCTCTCACCCACCTCTAGTTACACTGTGTTTTTTACAAGCCAAAGCTGCTGTGCCTGTGAGTCCTGCTCTGTGAATGTTGGGGGTGCCACTTGAAACACCAAGACACATTTTCACTCCTGGATTTTCTGCATGTTGGAAAGCCCAGGTGTATGTGTGTACAGGATTGTACCCTGACATCCACATGCCTATGGAGCAGTACGTGGTGGGCCAAACACACAGACATGAGGTAGCCATGTCTCAAACACTGCCCATGTCTGCTATAAAAAAAAATGAGCCATGACTCGAGCTGGTTGCTTTGTCCTTGTCCCTGGCAGTTGTAAGCCACTGGTCGGGGTGTGTTATAGGTTCCCTTTGTCCAATTTGCAGAGAAGCTACAGCCACTCAGTTATACAGCCTTGGCTTTTTAACTCTCGAGCAGCAAATCAAACTTTTTTTGCTCTGGGAGTCAACTGAGTTCCCGCTGTATCAGACAAGGGGGCAGAAGCCCCACAGGAATAAACCCACATTGTCCTTGCGTTGCTTTTTTAAACACGAGGTACCAAAGGCAAATATTGTGTGTGTAACAACCTGGATAATTTAGGGGAAGCAGGAAAGACTTAAACAAACAAATACTTTGAACTTACCGGTACATGTCCAAGAAGGGAAGAGACACTATCAGATACATAAATAATAATCCCATCAGTGGTAAGTGCAATGAGGAATCCATCTAAAGCCTAATGATAAAAGGCAGATTAAAAAATAAGACAGAAAAATGCACTCTTTGTAGTGACTTCAAATACAGTAAATAGGTTAATTTTTTTAAAGGCGATGCCTTTAACAGTCTAAAGCCAACACAATTCAATTATGAATCAATATGGAAAAAAAGAAAAGTAATTACTATACATGGCAGATAATCCAGACTTCTGATCTTCTCCTCATCTTCTCATTAACATTAATTTATCATGTATTTTGTGTCTAGTGGGTGTTTATTTAACATGAAGAAAGATGCAGGATGTTCAACGCTCATCCAAACCTGTTGACTTCAGGGACTCCCATTACACCAAGCAGGTTGGACCACAGTTAACTGACTTATGCATGCAGAGATGCCATATCACGGGAGCACAGCAGGAAAGGAGATAGCTGGGTAGCTAGTTAGCTAGAAAGATAATGTAGTTTTTGGCCTATAGTACTGTACTTTTATGGCTAAACTGGAAGAGATTTAAAATAATTATTTGCTTAAAACTCCAACTGATTTGTTAGGTTGCAGAAATAACTGGGTTTTCCTACTCATCTCACAACAGCTTTTCTTTGTCCTCCAGCTATGATTCTTGTCTTAGATGTAAAAATAACACAGGCTGGGTGAGCAGGGGCTGCGTGTGTGTCTAAGAAAAGGGGACAGGAGCCCTGGCACAAGGTTAGTTCTCTGTCCCTTCCTTCTGAGCGAACACATTTCCTTTCCATATCGCCAGCTCACTTTCCTGTTCTTCTTGGGCAGCTGCTAAGGTCAGGAGTTTTCTGTCTGGTCAGCACAGTAAACAGCCGCCTCTCCTACAGCCCGTGCTAAGGATGGTCTCCAGTCAAGTCCATGGGGAGCAGAGACGAATGGCAGATGGCGTGCCAGGGCCGCAAAGAACAGCAGTTCTTACTTACAAACTCTTCTTCCACTGCCATCTCTTAGGCTGGAACCGGTTTGGAGTCAATTAGAATGAACTAACTTGTTTGGTAGGAGAAATTCCCAGAAAGAGTGAGCAGCCTTTTCCAAGGGGGTGAGTCATGACATCCTGATGAAAAGGAGTAACTAAGACACTGCACTGCCTCCCAGCTCGGCCCAGCATACACCCTTATTTTTGGTGTGGCTAGGAGCAGGGGCGGGCTGCGAAGGAGGAGAGAATTCATTGCAACAACAGCAGGGACCAGGAAATCAGGAGCACCACTGTTAAAGGTTTGCATAAAGGTAAGTGAGCTCTTCAGGAAAACAGGCCGGATGTTGCTCTTCCCCCCTTCTCCTCTACGTGTCACAGCACTGGTTCAGACCTCTGTCTGTCCACCAAACAGGTAGTGAGTACCGTGACCGAGAGCGGGTCTCCTTGCCAGTCCACCTTCCTCCTCATATTTTTGCATCTGTAATGTCATCTTACCTCTAACATCAACTGGGTGAACTCCTCATTGCTAAGAAACGAAGGCTTCCAGTCCTGTCTGATCTCACAGGCCTCTGTCTGTGCCGTGATGTCTTAGAGAGAATAACAGAGAAACAGCTTCAGTTGAAGAGATTTTTAATTTTTGAGGAAACACTAGCATGTCTAAGCAAGGCTAGGGTGGAATGATTTTGAATGTACTCTTCACAGCCAGCTTGAATGCCTTAGGTGTCTTCAGCCCCATCATAGTACAAAGGTAACAGGAGATCAAAAGGTGACATCCGTGAAGGAGGAGAAAAATCAGATACCTGGAGAAACCACTAAAACCTGACAGCCGCGGTGCAATTCAGCTAAGATAGTGTAAATTCGGAGTAATCCCACCAAAGCCAGTGGGGTTACTCCAAATTCACACTGGCATTGCTGACAGCCAAGTAGGGCCTCAGCTGACGCCAGAGGAAGAGCCCATGGGATTTTACCCAGCTCGTGGTGCTATGCGCAACTGCTCACTGGCACATGCTGCAGCGCTGGGGCATCTGCACCCTAGCAGCGCCAGACCCCAGCTGCACCTTGCTCCGTGACTTCCAAACAGCAGAGCACTAACCTGCATGGGAAGGGCATGGGATTCATGGCCCTCTGTTTATTCACCGAATAGCTGCAGCACACAGCGTGCAACAGCCACACAGACTTTCTCACCCCCATTGCCCTGCCAGTCTAACTCTGGGAGGGAGACAAGCTCTCATTGCCAGACAAAGTTATCACTGATGGATTGATGCTCCCCATGTGCTTGCTGATAGGCACAGAGTAAGGAATGGATAAACACTGCCTCAGAGCGCTCAGACGCACCTTCCCTGGAGGTCATGTCTGGGCAGTCACCCCATCACTGGGGTGTCCTGTACTCAGGGGACTCAAACCCTCCCTCCTATCAGGAATGAATGGCTGCTACCCTGCACAATGACCCCGTGCCCCGTGCAGGGCTCACTAAGCGCTCTCTGGTACCTTTCTGTTTCTGCAAGAAGTCGATGGTCCGCTGCAGTATTGTGGACTTGTCCATCTTGAGAGGGTGGCCGTGGCCCTGCAGCATCGTGCAGAGCTCTTTAATGAGGACATTGAACTGGTCTCTCCTTTTCTTTTCAGATTTGTTGCGTGACGCCCTGGTTGACCAAGACACAAACAGCGTTAAGGAAAACAGGGGTGGTGGGGCTCAATCCTGTATGGGGCTGAGCGGCCCTGATTCAGCAGAGCACGTGAGTAACTTGAATCGTGCTTAAGCACAATAAGTTTTGGACTCCGGCAGGACCACTCGTGTGCGTACACTTAAGCATGTCCTTAAGTGCCTTGAGCCCAAGTACTCAGCACCTTCCAGCAGGACTGAGCTCACAAAGAACAAGGGACAGAGGTCAGAAAAAACAGTTTGTATTCACTTGTGTGAAGACATAGAGGCCTGTGTTTAGGCAGGGTTTCTCTTCCTTTATTTTAATATAGGTGGAAACTCAGTGAATCATAAATCATGCCAAGGATCTCAACCTGGCCCCTGAGGCTGCAGCTACATAATGCTGCCTGCTCCGATGCTTTCTTCAGGTCTTTTTTCCATGACTGGTTTCTCACATTTTGTACACACACATTTGGGGGGCAAAAGTAGAGAAATGTGTACATGCAGATGCAGCTTGCACATGGTTTTGGGGAGAGAAGGCTTGGAGGCGAAAAATCTGCATACAAACACATGAAGGTACACAACAGCACTTGGCTTTGAAAATACCACTGCAGGGTGCAGTGATGTGCTGTGACAATGGAAATGGGGGAGCCAAGCTCACAGCAGACCAGCAAACCTGCATTAACAATGGCTGAGAATGGGTCATTTAAATTCCCCCTCCCCACTCTGCTAAAGACAAAATCCATCCCCAGAAGGGACCTGCGTGAAACCAATGTAATCCCAAGTGAGGAGCTGCCTTTTCACAGCAAATGGGCATTTGATGTTCAATGATCCTCAGGACAGGATAATGTAACCTTGCAACTACTGAGACCTGACCAGCTCTTCTTGGAAAAGGTGGAGCACTTGTCCTGAAAGTACTACTCCCTACAAAGCTTGGGGAGTGTCGCTTGTGCCATCCACGCTGGCAAAATGAGATCCCAAGGAGTAGCTCAAATTACTGCACAAGCATCAGCCAGCCCAGCAAATCTTATTACATGTGCGTGTACAAGCTCACATTAGTGCCAACACCTCCCAGTGCTGCGTAGTTCCCTCCATACCTCTTTGCCCTGTCCTTCTCATCTTCGTCCATCAGCTCGCTTGCACAACACAGGGTTCTGGAGAGAAAAAGAAAGCCACGTTTTACCTCCTCCACAAACTAGGAACATTTACTGCTTTGACAGCAGTTGCTGCATTAACCAAGTCACACTATCTAGGATGTTCATTCAGTTCCTCATTGCCCTTTCCCCACCGTTCGCAGTGCATTTCTTGTCCTATCCTGTCTACGCTATTTAAAAGCGTGTTTAGAAGTGGTGCTTTGATGTAACACTGCTCAAAGAGGGAGGGATGCTTCTGTGATGGGGGGCAGGCCTGCGTCTAGTTGTGATCCTGGTAAATCCACCATGGAAAGCTGCAGTGCAAAAGGCTGAAAGCACTGCAGTGCCTGAGCAGGAGCAGAGGTGGGGAGCGCCATTGGGAACAAACAGATTAGGATCAAGGTATCTGGGAAGATATGCTGATATACTGGTTCGTGCAAAGGCTGGTGACTGGGGCTCCAATGGGATGCCCCTTGCTCATACAAGGCCGCTCCTCAATTGGCATTAAGCTCAGCAAGAAGAGGACAACTGAGCCTGGCCTCCCTGCACTGAATGCATCTGGGCTGCAGCCGGTATTTTATTTCAACCACTTACACAGCACAGGTGAGGAGAGCAGGGAAAGGATAGCAGGTCCCCATGAAGAGCCTCAGCTCCCGAGCCTTGTGACGTGAAAAAAACCTGAACACAGCCAAGGGTAATTTCTGAACTGGTCATTTGCTTTCTGCCACTCAGCTGGGCCAGCGCAAATTGATGGGTAGTCACGTTCCAGATTTGACAGATGGGCAGAGGCAGACAGCAACCCAGCCACAACCGTTCCCAACCCCGTCTTGCCCAGAGACGCCCCGGCCCAGGGACAGCCCTCCTAAGAGTGCTCCCAAAGCGGTCCCAAATGACTGGAGCATACTTCTGTCATTCACGTTAGCAGCCAAGCGGCAGCCCCAGAGCTAATGAGCACTTTCCCTGGCAAACCCCGGGCACCACACCCAGTGCCCAAGGAACATTCCTTGATTCAACAGATGCAAATATTTTTCCCTGCTGCGAGGCAACTCCAACCCCAAACAACTTAATAGCTGTAACAGTTGCACAAAACAGACCCTGAACAGAGAAACCCACAAGTGGCTTGTCCAAAGAAACCGCTTACAGCAAAAGCACACCAGGAGCTTTCTAGCTTCCCTCTTCTGGACCAAGACTGTCCTTTGGTGCAGGGAACCTGGGCAGACGGCAATGAATAAAGGGCTTGCTTTCTGCCCCAAAGGTGCGCATGCTGCAGAGCGAGGGAGTGGCGCCCGATTAGATAATGTACCTGAGTCACTGGGGGCAAATAACCGGATCAGAGATTGCCTGGTCTACTCCTTGGGTTCGTCGGTCCAGACTCACTAGGTGAGCTTAGCGCTTATCACTGGCCAGCTAGAGATGGGGCAAAAGGATTCGTGAAAGGGAAAGCAGGCTCAGCTGGAATAACCTGCAGTCAGGAGGCAAACTAGCAAGTGGAAATTTGGAAAACTCCATTACCACGAATGAAGAGTCGGTGCTATTGTCACTTGTCAAAACCCTGCAAAGTTTCACAGGACAGGACTAAACATTGTGGGCACTGATCTAGGCTGGTTTACATGGCATGAGTCTCATAGTTTCATAGTTGTAGGGTTGGAAGGGACCTGAGCAGATC